GAGGAATAGTGTCTGATCATTGGTGACAGTGTGATGAAGAGTGCCCCATCATTGGTATCACAGGAAGGAATAGTGCCCCATCCTTGGTATTAGTTGGAGAAATAGTAGCTAATTGTTTATATCAGTGGGAGGAATTGTGCCCCATCATTGGTGTCAGTAGAAGGAAAAATGTTCCAGAGTCGATGCCAGTAGAAGAAATGGTGCCTCCTTGTTGGTATCAGTGGGAGGAATAGTTCCCCGAGGGCCGGATATGGCATGCAAAGGGCTGTAGTTTGGAGACCAGTGCCCCACATGATAGTACAGCGTCTAGCTGCAGAAGCTATCACCTATGCATATACAAGATGCTGACAGTGGGGATGGATGGTGCACGTGTGTCTTCCACTCGCATGTAAATGTCAGAATCTCAAGTACAGGGGCTTAACACTCACGCCCAGTGAGCATGAGGCCTAATACTGTGCGTGAATCTCCCCAGCAGGACACACACACACCACCTGACAGAGGAACTAACCCTTCTTCATTAAAAACCACATAAGGGCTTGTTCACAGGAATACTCATGTTTTTGCTGTTTTGCAAATGCTAATAATTATATTTTTAAAACGGAAACCTTTTTTTTTTTTTTAATTTTCAGTCTTTTTTAATTTGTTTAGCAAAAAATAAAAAAAAACCCAGTGGTGATCAAATACCACCAAAAGAAAGCTGTATTTGTGTGACAAAAATGAAGAAAACAATTTGGATACAGTGTTGCATTGGGTACAGTTGCATGACCGCACAATTGTCATTCAAAGTGCAATAGCGCTGAAAGCTGAAAATGTGCCTGGGCAGGAAGGGGATGAAAGTGTCCTGTATTGAAGTGGTTAAACAATATAGGCACTATACAGACAAAAGGGCCCAGCCTGAAGTGATCCAGCAGGACTTCATTTTCTGTCTGAGCCTGAATTCACACTTGTGCGGTGTGCAACATTGCATGTGATTCACACAGGAACTGCACAGCATCCCTGTGCAAATCGCATACGAATTCTGAGCGGTGCAATTTGAGCCATACATCATGTATGGCTCAGATTGCACCACATTCCAACCAGAAAGGTGCAGGACCCTTTTTTTTTGTCTGCACTAGAATCAGACCTCATGGGTATTCACACCCATACGATACGATACGATTCTGCACATCACATCGCTTTTTGGGTGTTGTTAACTTAACATACTCACCCGCAGTGGTTTGCATGAACGGAGTGCGATTTTTGATTTGGTGCAGAAAACTGCTTTGAATTCCGCACCACATCAGCATGACCCCAGGCTAAAGTTCCATTTTAAGCTTTTGTCTGTGGGTGGCTTTTAGCAAGTCCCATTGTTCACTCTAGTCCTCACACAGCCTGTTTACATCAGAGCAGATCAGGAACTGACAGTTCAGTAACTGCTGGCACCTGGGGATGGGGCGGCTCTTCCCAGACAGGTAAAGAACATTTTAATAGCTTCCTGCCTCTACAACAGGTGCTCTTGATGACTGAACTGTGACTTTGTACCAGTTTCCAGCCAGTGCTATGTATTAGAGTCCTGCTACCCCTGTGTGTCTGGTAAGAAATGATGGCAAATAATTGTAGGTGCTTTGTGCAACAGTTACATAAATCCCAGATCAAATACCACACAGCTGTGCTCTTTTCAGAGAAGCAAATCTGTTAAATGTCCACATTTTTAAAGTTGCTTCATCCGACCGATTTCAGTTACAGGTGGAGTCTTGTGGATCAAATCACCCATAGCAGCTATATGTCTGCTTTGTCCCACTCCCAAGAAGTCTTACTAAGGCTGGCCATACATTATACAATTATCTGCAGATTTTCTGCCCAATTTCCTTTAGATTTACCTTCAACTATGTAGTGCAAGGGCCTGCCTAATTGGATACAACTGAAAGTGTTGTTTAGGTTTGTCCTCCTATTATATGGTTTTTGGTAAATCTAAACCAAAAATCTGCAGATAATTGTATAATGTATGGCCAGCCTAAGGCTATGTTCACACTAGCCTTGTTAGCAAGCGGCAGACAGGCATTTGGGAAGCGTTTTTTACCGTTTCCCAAACGCCTGGGAAAATTCCGCACATTGCAGCACATAGTGCTGTTCAAATGGGAGCATTAGCGTCGCGGCACAATGGATGCCTCTGGTGGAGTCAGGAGGAGTTGAAGCCTCCTATTCAAGTCTATGGTGCCGCTCTGGAAACGCCCAGCCGGCGTTTGCAGTTGCGGGGCATTTGCAGAGCGTTTTTAACGCTTGTCAAACGCCTAGCAACCGCCGCTAAAACACGCAAAAGCCGGGCCAACACTTGTCAAACGCTATAAGGGCGTTTGGCAAGAGTTGGAAAAACAGGTGTGAACGAGCCCTTATGCTGTTGAAATCCAAATCATTTAATTAAAACAGTATTAAAGTGATATCAACCACTTCCCTACAGGGCACATATACCCCCTTCCTGCTCAGGCCAATTTTCAGCTTTCAGCGCTGTTGCACTTTGATAATTGCGCAGTCATGCAACACTGTTCCCATATGAAATATTTATCTTTTTTTTTAAGACAGAGCTTTCTTTTGGTGGTATTTAATCACCTCCAGGTTTTTATTTTTTGCTAAACAAACCAAAAACAACTGAAAATTTTCTTAGTTTTTGTTATAAAATTTTGTAAATAAGTGATTTTTCTCCTCCTTCACTGATGTGTGCTATTGAGGCTGCAGTGATGGGCACTGATAGGCTGCACTGATGAAGAACTGGTAGGTGGCACTGATGGGCATTGACAGGCATCACTGGGCACTGAAAGGCAGCACTCATGGCGCTGACTGGCATTGATAGGTGGCACTGATTGACACTGAAAGGCAGTTCAGATGGGCACTGATATGTGGCATTGATAGGCACTGGCAGGTGGCATTGATGGACACTGACAGGTGGCACTGCTGGGGCTACACTGCTCAAAAGGGCACACTGATCATCAGTGCTCTGATGATCAGTGTACATGTCCCCTCCGAGGAATGCCGATTACCGGCTCTCCTCTCCTCTTGAGCTGTCAGCGTGACAGCTCGTGAGGAGAGAAATGGCGATAGCCGGCATTTCCCTATTTACATGCGATCAGCTGTGATTGGACACAGCTGATCACATGACCGAGCCAACATCTTTGGCTCTTTCTGTTGTTTGCTGCGTGCTCCCGGAGCCACGGACGCGCGGTTAGAGTGGGAGGACGTCATATTTCCTTATATGGCGGGCGGGAGGCAGTTAAAGGTGTTTTTTTTCAAATAACAAACATGTTATACTTGCTCTGTGTAATGGTTTGCGCAGAGCAGCCCCGATGCTCCTGGCCCCTACCTTTTGCCAAGTGCCCCCATAGCAAGTTGCTTGCTATGGGGCACCCAATCATGCTTCTCTGCATGTCCATTCACACACAGAGCATGGCCTGGCCCGTCCCCTGCTCTCTCCTCATTGGCTCACTGGCTGTGATTCTCATTAGCAGGAGCCAATGGGTCCTGCTGCTACCTCAGCCAGTGAGGAAGGAGAGTCCCTGCAGAGCCACTGCTCTCGTGCACATCACTGGATCGAAAGGGGGCTCAGGTAAGTATTTGGGGGGGGATGCATAAAATTTATGAATGTAAAGAACCTTGAGCCTTTACAACTACTTTAACCACTTGACAACCGCACTATAGCAAATGGCCTACAGCGTGGTTGTCCAGTTCTGGGAGGGCGTCATATGACGTCCTCCAGAACACGCCCTCCCGCACACCCCCAACAGCGCGCACCTTCCAATCTCTGTAATGAGGTAAAAGACCAATCACAGCAGCCTTTTACCATGTGATAAGCTGTGTCCAATGGCACAGCAGATCACAGAGTAAATACAATTGCCAGTTATCGGCTGCACTTTCCTCACGCTGTCACCGATAACTGGCAACTGTCAGAGCAGATTGACACTGATCTTCACGGCAATGATGATCAGTGTCACCCATCAGTGCCCCGTCTATCAGTGCAGCATCACCAGTGCCTCCTTATCAATGCCCATCAGTGCTGCCTATCAGTATCCATCAGTGCTGCCTATCCGTGCCACCTCATCAGTGCTGCGTATCAGTGCAGCCTCATCAACGCACATCAGTGAAGGAGAAAAATGATCTGTTTGCAAAATTTTATAATAGAAACAAAAACCCTTTTTTTTTTTTTTTTTTTTTTTTTTTTTTTTTTTTTACATTTTTGATCTTTTTTTTGTTAGTGCAAAATATAAAACACACAGTGGCGATTAAATGCCAACAAAAAAAATCTATATTTGTGTGAAAAAAATTTCATACGGGTATAATGTTGCATGACCGCGCAATTGTCATTCAAAGTGTGAGAGCGCTGAAAGCAGAAAACTTGCCTGGGCACGAAGGGGGTAAAAGTGGTTAAACCCAGAAGCAAACATTTATTACAGGGTTCCTCCAGAAGTTGCTAGGGCAGCGGTTCTCAACCTGGGGGTCGAACGACCATTTCCCAGGGGTCGCCTAAGACCATCGTAAAACACATATTTCCGATGGTCTTAGGAACCGAGACACCGCTGCTGTCTCCGGCGATGTGTGGGCGGGATGATATGCTGCCCCTGTCACCGCCTCCTCGCCGCTGATTGGCCACCGGAACTGTAGCTCAGGAGAGGCACACAGGCGGCCAATCACCGGCGAGAAGGTGGAGCTTGGAGAGGAGGAGCCGAGCGGCAGCGCGCGGAGATCGAAGAAGATCGAGGGAGCTGCAGGAACGAGTGAAGAGAGAGGCCAGAGAAGGAAGACAGCTGACAGGTAAGTGCAAATTTTGCTGCTGCAGCCAGGTATGCAGGCTGTAGATGGGAGAGGGAGAGAGCAAGCCCAGGCTGGAGCAGGAGTCAGCAAGGTAAGTATCATTGGTGTCAGTGGAAGGGATAGTGCCCCATCATTTGTGTCACTAATACCAACGATGGGGCACTATTCCTCCCCCCACTGACACCAACGATGGGGCACTATTCCTCCCACTAACGCCAATGATGGGGCACTATTCCTCCCACTGATACCAATGATGGGGCACTATTCCTCCCACTGATACCAATGATGGGGCACTATTCCTCCCACTGACACCAATGATGGGGCACTATTCCTCCCACTGACACCAATGATGGGGCACTATTCCTCCCACTCATACCAATGATGGGGCACTATTCCTCCCACTCATACCAATGATGGGGCACTATTCCTCCCACTCATACCAATGATGGGGCACTATTCCTCCCACTCATACCAATGATGGGGCACTATTCCTCCCACTCACACCAATGATGGGGCACTATTCCTCCCACTCATACCAATGATGGGGCACTATTCCTTCCACTGACACCAATGATGGGGCACTATTCCTCCCACTCATACCAATGATGGGGCACTATTCCTTCCACTGACACCAATGATGGGGCACTATTCCTCCCACTCATACCAATGATGGGGCACTATTCCCCCCCACTGATACCAATGATGGGGCACTATTCCCCCCACTGACACCAATGATGGGACACTATTCCTCCCACTGACACCAATGATGGGACACTATTCCTCCCACTGACGCCAATGATGGGACACTATTCCTCCCACTGACGCCAATGATGGGACACTATTCCTCCCACTGACGCCAATGATGGGACACTATTCCTCCCACTGACGCCAATGATGGGACACTATTCCTCCCACTGACGCCAATGATGGGACACTATTCCTCCCACTGACGCCAATGATGGGACACTATTCCTCCCACTGACGCCAATGATGGGACACTATTCCTCCCACTGACGCCAATGATGGGACACTATTCCTCCCACTGACGCCAATGATGGGACACTATTCCTCCCACTGACGCCAATGATGGGGCACTATTCCTCCCACTGACGCCAATGATGGGGCACTATTCCTCCCACTGACGCCAATGATGAGGCACTATTCCTCCCACTGACGCCAATGATTGGGCACTATTCCTCCCACTGACGCCAATGATTGGGCACTATTCCTCCCACTGACGCCAATGATGGGACACTATTCCTCCCACTGACGCCAATGATGGGGCACTATTCCTCCCACTGACACCAATGATGGGGCACTATTCCTCCCACTGACACCAATGATGGGACACTATTCCTCCCACTGACACCAATGATGGGACACTATTCCTCCCACTGACACCAACGATGGGGCACTATTCCTCCCACTGACACCAACGATGGGACACTATTCATCCCACTGACATCAGTGATGGGGCGCTAGTCCTCCCACTGCAAAATTACAGTTATGAAGTAGCAACGAAAATAATTTTATGGTTGGGGGTCACCACAACATGAGGAACTGTATTAAGGGGTCGCGGCATTAGAAAGGTTGAGAACCACTGTGCTAGGGGTTCCTTGAGCAATGAGCAATTTCTGCCTCTTGGGTAAGTTCCCACTGATACCATTGATCTTTTTAGCCATCTATAAGGGGGTAATTCTTCCCAAAGACCACAGCTGTAAAGGGCATTCTTCCCACTGATCATCACACTAATGTATCGTGAGATGTAGATATAGTCATTTTTAGCAGGGTTTCCTTGAGACCAGAAAGTTATTTCAAGTGTTGTGTTGAAAAGGTTGAAAAAGGCTGATTTATTGTAGCTTACCAGTTCTTAGATGTGATGGCTGCATTCGTTTTATTTTTTTAGGCTTTCTTTCCTTTATTTTTATCTGGCGATCCAGCCAGTAAGTCTGTTGTTTTTCAAAAGAACAAGCTCTCTTCCAGATGTATCAGTTTAGGGGGTTGGGATAAATTATTTACTACTGACAGGGCTCACATTGATCAGCTTTTATGTAAAACCCTTATCCCAAAAGAAAAAACTGTAACTGATTGTAAAGTGTGAGCTGGAGTTTGGCTTCAATTTGATAGCGGATCTAAATCTGAGTGCAACTAATAGTCAGTCCACTCCCCCCAGACTGCCAATGCTGCTGTCCAAAGGTGCCGCCTGTGTTCCTTCATGTACACGGGGTGTCTGGAAAACTCTTCTGAACAATGGAAACTGACTGCTGGAAAACGTAGGTTAAAAAACGCCAGTTTAGCCGCATTTGCATACCGCATTTATGTTTAGAAGCGCTTTTAAAAGATAACTTCAGGAAACCTTCCCAAATGCCCAGAATTAACTATTTCAGAGATTTTGAGAGGAATGGAGAGAGCAGAAGCAGAGAGAGCAGTATGTGTTGAGATGACCTGTCTTTTCTGGTTGTATCCACTATGGATCCCATCATGAGCAGGATGCAGCACTTTCTACCATTTTTTTCCTTCACAAAAAAGCTGGAACTGACTGCACTGGTGTGCTAGGTCCATTTGAATACATGGAAAACGCTTTGCGTGTATTTCTGATTATGAAATAAGGCTCTGGACAGCATCTGGACATGGAACAGTTAAAAAACACTTCTAAACGCAAATGCTTATAAATGCGGTTAGCCGCGTTTACAGGCATTTGAAACACCGGTAAAATCTACTCCTGAACACAAGTTTGGTGCATTAAAAAAAAGACTGTAAACTCAACTGCCTGTAAGTGACATAGTGTACATGGACACATAGGAAGACATTAGGGAGAGTCTAGGGGCTGCTGAAAAAACGCAGAAAACCTCCTGAACGTCAGTTTAGGAGCTGAAGTGTACATGAGCCCTGAGGGCTCGTTCACACTTGACTTTATTTCTAACTCTTGCCAAACGCCCCTATAGTGTTAGACAGGCATTTTTAATGCTCCTCAAATGCCCTATGCGTGGTTTTGAGGCGGTTGATAGGCGTTTGCCAAGCATTAAAACCCCACCACAAACGCCTATAATGAAGTTAAATGGTCTCAACGCTCCGCAAACACCTCGCAACCGCACCGCAAATGCCTGCCAGGTGTTTGTGGAGCAGCACCATAGACTTGAATGGGAGGCTTCAACTCCTCCTGACTCCACACGAGGCGTCCATTTTGCCGCAACGCTAACGCTTCAGTGTGAACAGCACTGTGTGCTGCCATGTGCAGAATTTTCATAGACTTTTGAGAAGTGCTAAAAACGCTTCCCAAACACCTGTCTGACGCCTGCTGACAAAGCTAGTGTGAACTAAGCCTCAGGCTGCCAATCAGGGGCAGACTGACAACTTATGGGGCCCTCGGGCAATAGGGGATCATGGGGCCCCTGTGTCCTTGCCTATAAAAAAGGTACCAGGGGCATCTCATGGGGACCCCTACTGACCCCGGGCCCTTGGGCAGTGCCGAGTGCTCAGTCCGCCCCTGCTGCCAATACATACACTTTTCTTGTACAATTTAGCAAACCCATATAATATGAGGCCAGACCTAAACACTTTCAATTTGAATGCAGTCAGGCAGGCCCTTGCACTACATAGTTGAAGGTAAATCTAAAGGAAATTTAATAAGAAAATTGTGTAATGAATGGGCAGCTTAATACAAGAGTTTGTGCGATTGGCTGGCTGGATCACCAGGTGAAAACGGAGAAGAAAAAAAGTCTTAAAGAAAACTAATGCATCCACCACATCTAATGATTGGTAATCTGCAATATATAACATGTTTGGGTTCAACACCGCTTTAAGTGGCCTGGCATGTTTTTCTTCTAATGAAAGCTTTAGGCAAACTTGTATGGGTAATATTAATCTGATTTCCAATATTTCAGTGCTCTTGTGGAAGTTGACAGAGCGGAATGTCGCTGAATGTGACCGAGACCATTCTCCACCCAGAGTGAAAAATCTATGTTTTTTTGGTGGAGTACACCATAAGAAAAAGGCTTCGGAAACTCTGCAGAGTCATAGTCCTCAGGTGTTAGACTGTCGCGTTCAGAATATTTGCTCCATTAATCTTCAGTGATGTCTGCATAAGGGGAACATCTGCCAGAATACAGCGCCTCCAGCAAAGGATTCTGGGTAGCAGACAAGATGGATGGTTTCAAATATCTATTTAGTTTTCTATTAACCTGTGTGAGGCTGAGGAGAAGCAAAAATATAAAAAGAAAATAAGTAGCTTCACAGATATTCTAAATCTGAATATGCTCGCAAAACCCTTTTCAAGCTGAGGAACTACAAGTCCCAGCGCACTGGATGGTAGGACAGTCTCTTCCAACAGCATTTTACCTGCCAGATGGGACATTTTGGGTTCTCTGTGCGCTTCAGCTCCTCCTGTTACATGGGATTGCAGGTCACCACCACCCCTACAAAAATCATTCCCCTGAATACAACCATAAATAATAAATAGACATGTACACATGAAAATTATGGAAAATGAATGGCTGCGGCACTCTATTGGTTTTAAAATTCAATCATCAAATAAGAAATGATTTATTATTAACAAAGTAACTATTCAATATAAGCCCCGTTATTAGAATGTGAGCCAAATTTCAATAAATGAACATAAATGTCCCTCCTAGGGATTCAGGGTGACCACACCCCATAAAGCGCCAGCGCCAAGGGTGGGAGGGGTAACTTTTGGCTAAGCTGACCAACTGCACAAACCCTCTGGAGCCCTCTTCTTTATATAGAAGAAAATCCAGAAACTTCCATTAAATCTTATGGGCTAAAATTTTTTAAAAAAAATGTAGAGACAGTGTACTTTTTTTTTTTTTTTTTTTTTTTTTTTTTTTTTATATATTACACAATTTAAAAGAGTGGAGAGGGTCAGGGTGGTCGCAAAAACCCATGGAGGTGGGCCCAAATACCTGTGCTCTCCTTTCCACATTCTTGTAAATGAAAAACAAATCCAGCAGGGGATTTTTGATAATGGGCACAACAGCACAGAGATGTCACCCATAGAGTCCCCGAGGGATAGACAAAGCTGTCATGTGGTTTAACACTCCACCATTCAGTAAATCTAGAAATATCTGTGTGGGGTGGAGTGACCCTTTAATCTGCACACTGAATGGTACTTTTAAAACACACTGCATGTCACTCTGGTAAGGATCGGTCACAGTTATGGACTTTTATGACCTTTCAGAATTTTGCAGTGTTTCACTGCCTCTATGCTAACATGCGTTTTTATGTGCGTTAACATGCATTGCTTTAAGGCAACACATTCTTTTTGAATAGGCTGTCAAGGCACAGCAGCAGGCCAAAACTTGACCTGCAGAATTCTATTTTAATGCACCAGTCCACAATGCACAGCATGTACATGGGTTAAGGGTTAATTATGAAATATTCTACTTGTATGTTGGGGGTCTTAATATAAATGAATGACTTTGCCATACACAACACAAAGTGCTGTGTGTTGCAGTAATGCCCAGAGAAATTAACATTTTATCATGCATTACCACAATGCATAGGTCTAATGGGAACATGAAAGCACTCTGCTCTAAGTATTGAAATGCATGGGATCTATGTTGGTGTGAATACGCCTTAGAGAAGAGCTGTGTTTTGTCCATGCAGGGTAAGGCAACATGTTCATTTTAATGGCGGTTCTACCAGCTGGGCTTATTTGACTTTCCTTTCTTCCCCCTCTGCTGTATTCAGCTGCCAGAAGTCAGTTCTTCTAGAGATGGAG